ACGTAATGGGTCTATTTCCAGCACTGACTCACTCCATATGGAATGATCTTGATATGAAATGCAAAAACCCACAGGGACATGAAGAGTTGCACAAAGCACACTGGAGTTTCTCAGAATTCGCTTTCTGCGAGCATGGAGCTGTGCTTTTTATGACCTTGTGTCCAGGTACTTTCATGCCCCACGGCTGCGTGTGACCATTCGGCCGGCTGAGTGGGGGAAGGGTGGAGTAGGGTTGGATGAGAGTGGGTTTATTGGGGTGGATGTCTGTGGTTTTTTTTTTGTGCTTGTGGATTAATCTAGAGTCCTTAACCCACTTCCAAGTCCATAGCTGGCACGAGAGAGAAGAAATGGCATCATGAATGAGATCTCTCTCTGCTGGACCGAAGCTAATACGGGTTCAGCTGAAGTTCGACCGGGTGGGTCACGCACATGGTCCTGTGGTCAGCCCAGGCGAATGGGAAAAGCTCTGCCATAACATAAGAGCAAGGGATCACTGCATCTCTGGCCAGCAGCCACGGCCCAATCCGATCTCTGGCACTAGATGCAGAGAAACCAAGGGCCACCGTGTGCACTGACTAAGCATGCGTGCTATTCTCCCTCAAGCGCACACTCGTGCAGTTCCGTTGAAACGCTCTTAACGGGAATTTGCATTTGCAAAGAAGCATGTGCTTTGGAATAAAGCTGTTTGCATAAGGCAGAATCTGTCAGCAGCCTTCAGGGAATCAAACCAACCTTGTTTCAAGGCTGCTGTGAAAGAAATGCAATTAGCGAGTTCAAATGGTGTGGGACATAAAATAATATGCAGTGAGAGATTGTCAACGTACACCGTGTATCTCGTTAATGCGACGTATAGAAGGTATGTGCTAGACTTCACATCCGTCATCTGTTGTGTTCCTCTTGAGGGAATTAGGAGCAAACTCTCATCTGAGGTTCTGCTTAGTAATGCTAATGCAAGCTGAAGTCATTCTGTCAAATTCTGATGTCATTCCTTTTCACATTCATGTCACTTATTAAGCCAGTAGAGATCGTAATAGTGTGGGTTTCCAAAATAGCATATGTGTATTAGGAGGGCAATTACAATATTTCTGGACTGATAATTAACAGCTTGTTGTGCCTGATACAATTAACCTTTTATTTTATTTATCTACTTGTTTTATTATCTATTTATTTTTATACATATAAAAGCTTTAATAAAAGTTTAGAATGTGGACTTTTTATGCATTTAGGAAATCTGATTTTGATTACTTTGTTACTTTGCTTTTTCATTTACAGAGAAATTAGAAATGTTCCCTTCATAATTTAAGAAATATAGTGATCAAAATAGGTATCTGTAAAAACGTCATGACCTATATCATGTCAGTATATTGTAACAGTCGTAACTGGTAGAATACAATAAGCAAGCATATTTGTATACATGAAAACTGTCATATGCACATGTGAGAAATCCTTCAAAATATTTCCTTATTTGTTTGATTTATTTGCACGGCTAAAACAACTGACAGAAGACTAAATGTAAATAGTGCTCATAACAGAATATAGGAATGTGTCTTGTGTGAACTTTGTTTTCAAAGTCAATTCCCAGTTATTCTTAGTCATATACGCTTTGGTTCCAAAGTTTGGGTTCAGTAAGTTGTTTTTATTGTTCTTGTTGCCGTTTTTTTTAATTTTTTTTCAAAATGTACAGTAAAGATTTTTTTAACCACTTTTGACTTTCTATTCATCAAAGATTTCTGTGAAAAATACAAAAATATTTAGCAGCACAACTGTTTTCAACATTAATCATGAGAAATGTTTCTTTGGTACCAAATAAGCATATTAGAATGATTTCTGAAGGATCATATCACATCATGTCATGATTGCTGAAAATTTTGCTTTGCCATCACAGGAATAAATTATATATTCAAATTATAATATTATTTCACAGTAGTACTGTTTTTACTGTATTTTGTTCAACTAAATGCAGCTTTGGTGAGCAAAAGCAACTTCGTAAAAAATATTACCGACCCCAAACTTTTGAACAGTAGTGTAATCGTGCACCTATTAAAAAGCATTGATCGGTACTGATCTCTCTCATTATTATTCTCTCCCTAGCAACATCTAACCCCTTCACCCAGAAGCCACCACTGTTCAGTACCCTTCTGTACTCCATCGTGCCCATCATGGGCATCACAGCCATTGTCCTGCTCTCCTTCTGGATGTATCGACATCACAAGCTGGCGTATCCACCTGTTCTGGTGCCTACCCAGGTAAATTGATATCTCTACTGTTTAATGCATGTGTTTTGATTCACTTTTAGTAAAATGAGAGAAGTATTTCCATATTTTGAAGGGAAACACTAATGTCAGTGATTCACATGCAGCACAATGTTGCAAAACCCATCTGCTCTTATCGCTGTAGCTCTTGAGTTTCAGTGTATCAGAACATTTTCATGCCACTAGAAACGGTGCTATTGGGAGCTGTTATTTCCCCTGGGCAGCACCTCCTGTTGATGTGAATGACAGTGATTTCAGGGATCTAATGTGCTCAATGTCACACTCACTTGAGCTCAAACACACTGTCAGCTGAAATCAAACTAGATCTGTCAGGACACGGTTGTGTTTCAAGTGCCCTCTTCTCCCACCAGAAAGACAAGATAACAGAATATAACACAAGACATGAGCAATCAGGTGACCTTTACCCCTGTGTGTGACTAGTGTTGAGATTCCCATCTACTTCTGATTTACACAATAGATCTTTATAGATTTAGCTAGTGAAGTCAAAATCTGAACTGATGGGTCAGCTTGAAAAAAATCCTTACTGTTTATCCTTAGCCTTGCAGGACATCTTTAGCAGCTCAGAGTAGATGCATTTATGTGTGCTGGGCTGATATATGGTCTGTGTGGTAGCACAAAGGGTTACCTTAGTGTCAGGTGAGCATTTGGAATTCCCCGATTGAGTTTCAGGGTTATGTAGGACAGTTCTGACAGATGAACCATCTCCTTAGCGCTGCTGATATTGAGTATCATGATCAGCCCAAACTTGTTTTTGATATGTAGGGAACTTTATTAGCTCTTAATACAGCCGTCAGAAGGCCTCAGGGACTATTACAACACTTAGTTAATATGAAACTGCATTTGCACCTTCCCTAATGGTATATCAACTAGAAACATTGTTGGGGTTTGACAGTGGTTGGGTAGGAGATATGGAAACACGGGGGGGAGGGGGGGTTTGGTGAAAAAGAAAGCCGTTTTGGAGCAAGAGAACATTTAGGGTTCCTACGCAGTTTGGAAAAGTATGGAATTTGATTTGAGTAATTTCCAGGTCTGGAAAAGTATGGAAAAAGGAAAGCAGAGTATATAAAAATATTTGTATTTCCATACTTTTGCCCCCTATTTAGTTTTCTATAATATAAAATTAAGAATTTAATGAAAATAAATTAATCATACAAGAAGTATCTTTTCATGGCAGCTGTTTAATGATTCTTTGATGATTGTCAAACACGACTGAATTAATACAAAAATGCAGGTTATAGTCAGGTTTTGGGTTTCTTCTCACGATATTCTTAGGACTGTATGACAGAACCTCTAAAAGGATGTTTGCAAAACTAAAAAAATATACGGACTTTTGTGTGCACACAGAAACTGAGCTTGATTGCGCCATCAGCAAATAGACTTATGGCCTTGAAATATGATGTACTGCTCTAAATATAGGCAAATTTTGAACAATTGTTTACAATTGTCTTTTTTATAGACCCTTGAACTTGGCAAATAGGACAAAGCACACAGCCGTATTGTGCCATCGGCCCATTTCGTCAACAAAGGATGCATTAAATTGGACATTAGTCCTTGATATTATCTATTTACCAAATTTTGAGCAAATAGATCTCTATTAATTCATGTGCATCCATGCTCTCATTTTCTACATAGTAAGATGGCAGTGACGCACAAAGGAAATAGGTTATACTACAGGTGCATCTCAATAAATTAGAATGTCGTGGAAAAGTTCATTTATTTCAGTAATTCAACTCAAATTGTGAAACTCGTGTATTAAATAAATTCAGTGCACACAGACTGAAGTAGTTTAAGTCTTTGGTTCTTTTAATTGTGATGATTTTGGCTCACATTTAACAAAAACCCACCAATTCACTATCTCAACACTCCATGCCACGCCGCACTGATGCAGTAATTCATGCAAAAGGAGCCCCTACCAAGTATTGAGTACATGTACAGTAAATGAACATACTTTCCAGAAGGCCAACAATTCACTAAAAATGTTTTTTTTATTGGTCTTATGAAGTATTCTAATTTGTTGAGATAGTGAATTGGTGGGTTTTTGTTAAATGTGAGCCAAAATCATCACAATTAAAATAACCAAAGACTTAAACTACTTCAGTCTGTGTGCATTGAATTTATTTAATACACGAGTTTCATAATTTGAGTTGAATTACTTAAATAAATTAACTTTTCCATGACATTCTAATTTATTGAGATGCACCTGTATATATAAAACTAGAAATTGTAATGCGTAAGCACTCGAACAAAATTCCCATACGCATGTGAATAGTTTCCGTGTGCATGCAAAAGTCAGGTTTTTTTTTTTAGGGGCTCTGGAGGTTGTCACTTTCGAGAAAATCAATGAATAAGCACAGAGGACTTCTACTACATACCAAATATAAAGCTGAAAATAAAGCTTCAATGAATCATATATGTTAAATAAATATGGTCTGAAAATCTACTGAGAAGTTTGGACATCTGAGTCTGGAAAAGTATGGAATTTTCAGATGGAAAATGTGTCCTGTATTTTGTGATTTATTTATTTTATTATTATTATTATTATTTTGAAAGAAATTAATACTTTTATTTAGCAGGGACACATTAAACTGATCAAACGTGACAGTAAAGATGTTGCATTGTTACAAAAGATTTATATTTCAAATGAATGCTGTTTTGAGCTTGCTCTTCATCAAAGAATCTTGAAAACTGAAAGAAAAGGGGAAAAAATGGTTTCTGAAGGATCATGTGACACTGAAGACTAGAGTAAACTAAAGGCTGCTGAAAATTTAGCTTTGTCATCACATTATAAAAAAAAAACATTAATATTAATATAAACAGTGCTTTAACCGCATTAAGTGCTTGGCTTCACTGTGAGTATGGGAATTTTTTGTTTCTGGAAGGAAAGGGCATTCAGGCAGCTACACGCATTTTGCAGAATTTCCTCTTTTTTTTATATATATATATTCATATTTTAGCTATTATGCATGTGCCTAAACTCATTCCACATCTATCTTTACTTAAATCACCGTTTTTATTTTTACTCACCTTTTTTGTGTTTTTGTTTATTGCATTAGACAGGAAATGTTTTGGTATATGGGGAGGGAAGACGTGCAAACTGCTGCACCACAGCTCTGAAAACACTATTTTCTTATTGTCATTTAGTTTTTAAGTCATGGTTAAAAGGTTCCTGTTCCTGTGTTGGTTGTCTGTCAAGGATACAATATTATATTGTATCTATGAATGGGAATGCAGATCGGTTTTACTTCCTGAATGGTAAAAATGTATGCCCGATTTTCTTTAAACTTTTGCTTTGAACTCTTTAAAATCTTTTGTGTTTTCTTTTGAAATATTCGGAATTGTTCCTAGTAGACAGTTTTATTTGGTAAAGTCTCTCAGAATCTTGTACAAGTCTGGCAGTTGCTGTAACATGCAGATTTGGCCTCAGGTATAAGCGGCAACCGTTGAGTGGTGTCCTTGGGTCTGAAGGTTCATTCTTTTCAGTTATATTCACTTACACAAAGTTAAAATTAAAAAAAACATAAGGCAAGATGTTTAATTGGAATATCTACTTGAGGCCCACACCTGCATCAGTCTTTGCTGTTTTATCTTGTGAAGCATGTGCTTTTAACAGCATAAGTAGCACCAAACAGAATTGCAAAAATAAAATAAAAATCCCCAAATCATTGGTTGGACAAATAGATTGTCCCATCCCAAACACAAGCCATTGGTTGAGTAAATGTTGCTATGTCAGGACGTTTTCAGACAAGAACGACCTCTGAATGCCTTACTTTTAGCCTCTGCACAGTAAAGTAGAAGAAAGTGTTTTAACTTAAAAAAAAAAAAAAAAAAAAAAAGTGGTGTTCCTATCTTTTGGCTTGACATAAATGTTAAATCTTTTGGACAGACATAATTGGGTTAACCTGTAAAATTATATTGTGTTGACCAGCAAGTGAAAGTTCCTACAGAAATAGTGAAACACATTTACTCGTTCTTAAAGAAATCGTTAAATTCCCCATCACGTATTTCCATCTCATATACGTTAAACTAAAACTAACACTTGATTTCCTCTTTCCTTCCTCAACTAGCACGCCTTTCATATAATGATAGAGGTAAGAGAAGCCTGACTCATTCATCTATTTTTTTTTTTTTTCAAGATTATGTTGGAACCTCATTTTAAACCTTTTTTTTTTCATTGATATCAAAAGCACCCCTTTGTTTTTGTTAGCACATTTTCCTATAATATCCCACTGGTTTTATTTTGCGTTTATCCCTGCACATTGCCTCATCAATCTGTGATGTTCTGACTTTCAGTGCACGGATAACAAAAACGAAATCCTCTCTGATTCAGGGGACTCAGGCAGAGATCCCTTGATTTAGGTGCATGGTAAAATAGCAGTACTGAGGTTAAAATGCACGTCTCCAAGCATGCAGCAAATGTATGCAAAGATGAATGTTATGAATGTGGGAATGGGGAACAGCTTAAAGTGCTTTTATTGTACTTAACCTATAAAACATTTGCAGTCATTTTGAAAGATTCATGGCAAAGTGTCATATTGCATCAGTGTCACCCCTTGGACATTCTCCATTTCAACACACACAAAATACACATGAAAAATCAGTGGTTTGATACCTTTGAAAGATGTGAGGCTGTGGGTCTCTGCGGCACTCATTTGCAGTTTTGGCCAGAGAGGCAAAGCTTTTAAAAACTGGAATGAACTAAGATTATTCCCTGATGAGTCCTGAGCTGTATTTACATTTGCATGAATGTGCTTCTTGACAGATGTTCGTCCATGAGCTAAATAAATCTACAAGAGCAAAATATAAAAATGCCTTGCAAGTTTTAAAAGGGTCATGTATTGTAAAACTGGATTTTTCCCTCCCAGTGAGTAATGCAGTGGTATAGTGATTATACAGATTATACTGGGGGGGTTTTTCCCTCCAGAAATCACTTTCCATATCACACTAACGGTGAAAGCAGCCTGTTTTCTTGGGGCTAGAAAAAAAAGTTGAAAATGGTCAGGAAAAACTGAATTATGGCCAGGATATTTAACTTTTAGACCAGGAAACCTTGACTAACATTATAAGTGGACCTCAGGGGGAAATAAAATGCTGCAGAAGTGTAAGATATTGCCCTTTTAAACCCTTTTTAAATCGCTTTGTGTTCCCAGAGGGTGATTGAACCATAATGTTGGGCAGCCCAAGACCAAGTAAAGGAAATCAACTGGTCATTCAGTGTTTCTGGAGCCAAAGATTGTTGCCTGATTCCTCTTGAGATTGAGTCCATCCTGAAGGTTTAATACAAAACATCACATTGATGCTTTTATCCACCTGTGTGCCAGTACTGATAAGAAACACTCTGGCACTAAGAAGTCCATTTAGTTCTCTAAGGATTTAGCTCTGAATTACATTGTATATATGCTGCCTACGCTTCCATTTGTTACAGCAAACCGTTGTGTATTGCTTTGGTCTAAATATGTCTTCCAAATGAATTACTGTATGTAAATAATTCACAAGAGATCAAAAGCCCACAAAATTTTCAAGGCCCCAAATTTTCAAGCTATCCCAGATGCATTCTGTGCGTTCTTCTTAAAGTATAGTCTTGGTAAACAGTCATGGACCTTAGGGTGGCTTTCTGTTAGGTGAGATAAATCTTATTTTTTCCATACATATTTATAGTAGACTTAATAACAGTCCTATTAACAGTCCTAATAAAAAAAAGGTTTAATTTAATCAATGTATTAAAAACTAATGTCCAGCAATGAATGAATGCATCTGAATTGAAGGTATTTGACATATCACAAAATAACGAAGCCACGTCTTTGAGTTGTCCTTGTATGCTGAATTCAAAAACAAACTGACTGTGACCTGATTGATACAGAATGTTTGTGTATAAAAGAAAGCAAACAACATATCTGAAGAAGTATTGCTTAAATTATCTTTTTTTTTAAACCAGTTCACCAATTCAAAGTATAGGCTGAGAAATGAGAATTAAGGACATCAGTGGTATGAATAAATACCTGTATGAATGCTTCACATGGGAGTCACATGCAAAATAATTGTCTCAACTGGACTTTTGCCACTGGTCTCTTTATTTTCAGGCACTGAATAAACCAAACAACTCCAGTAACCTGCACTCTGACATACAATATCTGCCACAGGCGTCTGGATAGACAGATAGCCCTCTTAAATTACCTGTGTTGTTTTTCTTTTTCTTTTAGAAAAGGAATGCTTTAAAAATGTCAGTCTGTGCCTCCATCAACGGCTGCTGCCCCAGGGGCAAACACTTCCCATAAGACCTATTGTCGTCATGTTTATGACTGGTGTCTGCTTAGTGACTGACGTTTAGGCAAATGGAAAAGTAAACATGACCCTGACCCGTGTAGGTGTGAGGTCAGTGTGAGGGTTGTTTTCTTTACATCCCCCTCAGGAGCTCAGTCCCTCCCGTACCTCCATTCTCCCTCATTTCGCGTCGACTCTCTCGGTTTGTGTAACAGCAAAGCATTGCCATCTCAGAAGTACTTGCTTTCTCGCCTGCGTCCTCACTGTTTCGTGTTTTTCTTCTCTGCGTGATGGATGTTCTGTTCTTTAACCTTGTCTCCTCCCACCCACAGACATGCAATGTACTTTTCTCCAGCATTTGTTTCCTTGAGGACTTGGAAAAAGTTAGTTAACAACCCAGATCCATATGCTAAGGAGTCTCAGTTCAGAACAATCGTGCACCCCCCCCATCATGTTCAGTTGGTGGAAATGTAGGCCACATATAAAAACATGCCTGTTCTGCATTTGTCCTACTTTTGCCTGAACTCCAAACCACAATCCAGCAGGTGCTCTGTGGACAGTCTTTCTTCATCCTACCTACTTATTGGGCATTTGTTTCAAAAGGAGGCCAAATGAAGCTCTTTTTCTCTATTCAAGCACATATGACTAACAAAGGGAAGTAGGTTGTTACAGAGTTTTAAGGGGAATTTCACAAGACACCTGTGAAGAATGTAATCAGGTAATATGTCTTCCAGCTATATTTTGCTTATTTTTACTTATATTTGATTAAAGAAAAAAGAAAATGGTTTTTAGGACCATAAAGAAAGTGTTGCAGTGTGGCATTAAGTTAATTAAACAAATTGTTGTTTTATATACATTTTTAAATGTTTTATATATTTTTATCTTATATAAATAAACACATTATATATTTATATAACACATATCTGTACTTTTTTTTTAGAAAACAATTTTTTTTTAATTATTTATTCATTTTTATATGTATTACTATGTATTGCATTTATATTTATATATTGCAAATATATATATTTTTTTTTATGTGAAATTTGTGGATTCACTCTGCGTTTTGGAGAGTTGTATGCCAAGTACAGCAAGTCAAGCCTTCAAAGTGTAATGGCATGCCAGTGTCTTTCACGGCACCCACAAACTAGGTCAGCTGCTTATCAAATCTGTTGTACACTTACAGAAACTATGGATTATGTTTAACAAGCTCTGAACTGCAACTCCCATAAGCCCCTTCTGTCCAAGCTTTATGCAGTTCAGCTGCATGGCATGGTCCACCTTTACCCCATTTAATACACCACAACCAGTATCATTTGCATGTTTTTTCGTAAGGTATGGTATCTGTCACAATAGTATTTATAATGGCCATATGAGACCCCTCAGTGTTCTCACAACGTGTTACAATCCTAATGCAATGAACAGGTCTTCTGCTGGGCTTACATTCTTTCCACTTCCCTTTTCCTATAACAATGGGCGTGGTCCATTGTAAAGTGCTCATTTTACTTAAAAATAAAAATAAAAAAAAATCTTTTTTTTAACGATAGTAACAGTTTTATTGTTGGTGATTAATGGCTTAAATTCATGCAGTTTCTCTTCTGAACTGAAACTGTTGTTTTGAACTTGTCTTACACTATCACTGAAATGATTTCTGGAGTAAATCATGTGACACTGAAGACTGCTGAAAATACAGCTTTGTCATCAAATAAATAAAATAAAAAAAATGTAAAACATTAAAATAGAAAACTCTTATTTTAGTTATTGTAATAATATTTTAAATGTTATGTTTTACTGTCTTCTTAAAAAGTTCCCCAGTCTTAGTGAGCAGAAGAGACTACTTCAAAACATTTTTAAAAATTCTTATTGGATGAAAATCAAACATGGAGGAAATTCTAATTTTGGAACACTAAACTTTTAAATGGTAGTGTCTATAACACAGGATTCCAAAATTAGAATTTCCTCCATGTTTGATTTTCATCCAATAAGTTATTTTGGATGTTTTAAGCCTTTATTGGTCAAACAATTTTTCTCTATGCCAGTTCACAGGTCAGAGTTTATTGTGTAGCAGAAGACAAAATCTTTGCATGTGCTTGTGTACCCATTCCCCTTCGTTTGCATGTATATGAATGGAAGTATATGAAATTGAATATAAAATCTAGCATGAACCAACCCTTAACTCCTTTAAAGTGGGAATCACAACATACCAGTGGCACCAGCAATCAACGTAACAGAGAGGTTTTATTTAAAGAGTCACGGGTTAATCCAGGGTCCTCTTTCCAAACGGTGTCCTTCTGTATTGGGCACTTTGAATGGCCCTTCTTTGTACACGCATCCTGTTGAAATAACCTTATGGTGGTTAGTGATGGCACTGCATAGGTTGTTGAGAAATCAGCACAGCCAGCTTGTGATTTAGAGAGTCGCTGTGAAACGAGCTGGGTGACGATGGTCTCCATAGTGATGAAGTCTACAGCAGTTATTACACCTTCAGATGCTCTGTTCAGCCAACCCAATGTCTTACACTTCCTTATTTATTGTCTTGCAGGACCCTGGACCCATGCCGCCGTCTCCCACCCTGGTCCAGAAGCCTCTGCAGTTGTTGGAAATCAAAGCTAGGGGGCGCTTTGGCTGTGTGTGGAAAGCTCAGCTGCTCAATGACTATGTGGCAGTGAAGATTTTCCCTATTCAGGTACCACGCGGAGCCGAGGCCAGAGAATCAGCTCCTAAAGCTGATGAGTTAATCTAACCTGTTAAACAATTACACTGCCAAACGTGGAGCTGAGCCATGTGTCGGCCTGTGAAGTACATATACGTGCACTGAATGTACAATATTAGCACATAATGTGATTTAAACAAAACTGAATTTGAGAGTATTGTAAAATATTACAAATTTATGATACTTGACAGCAAAGATGATTAGGGTTGGGTATCGTTTAGGTTTTTTTCGATACCGGTGCCAAATTGATACTTTTAAAACGGTTCCTTTTTAAATTCTTTTTAAAGTAGCCTATGGAACATATTTTCTGCCTGATTCTGTGACAAGAAGCCACATCAGATCACAAAAGGAAGCATTTGACTGGTGTTGTAGAGTAAAAAGGTTATAATATTCTCTTTTGTTGGACAACAGGTTTAGAAATGTGAATACAAGGGAAGGTTAGCATTAGGCATTTTAATTTAAGCATATTTCGATTAGTTAACGGAAGGCTACCTGCTGCCATCAGAGCAAGTGTAATTACTGCATTCACGCGCGTGCTCCTCTATGCTCTCATTTCCCGAGTTGTGCTTTTAAGTCGGAATGTGAAAACAACATGGACACTAGCGTTACTACAAAGATGTGTTGGATTTGTATTATTAGAGCTTTCTGACTCGAGTTCATGTGCATTTTCTCAGTCGGGAATTTTTTTTCACGTGCGGTGCCGGTGATGATGCTGCTTTCATCGGTTTTGGAGAGCAAGAGGACAAATATTTCAATCGATCGCTCAGGCATGGCACCGAAATGAGGCACTGAAATCTGCATTCGGTTCTAGTACATACCGGTTATATAGTTACCGATGCCGGGTTTCAGTACCCAACCCTAAAGATGATGCAATCGTATGAAATAGAATGTGAACAGGAAACTATACATCTTCCATATTCAAACCTATCCTGTAAAAGCTGTATATGTCAATGTTTAATATTTATATAGTTAAATATACATAAATTATATAATTATTTATTTATCAAATAAACATTGTAACTTTTTTAATTAACTATGACTTTAAACAGAATATGAACAGAACCGTGTTCAGTGGGTGCTGTTTTTAAAAGAAATTAGTATTCAGCAGGGATGCATTCAGTTCATCAAAAGTGACAGTGAAGACATTTATAATGTTACAAAAGATTTCTATTTCATATAACTGCTGTTCTTTTGAACTTTCTATTCATCAAAGATTCCTAAAAAAATGTATGACTTTCCGCAAAATATTAAGCAGCACAAGTTCTTTCAACATTAATAATTCAAATAAATGATTTTGGGCCCTATTTTAACGATCTAAGCTCATGGTCTAAAGTGCACGGCGCAGGTGCACTCAGGGCGTGTCCGAATCCACTTTTGCTAGTTTAACGACGGGAAAAAGGTCGGCGCACCCGGGCGCATGGTCTAAATGGGTTGTCCCTATTCTCTTAATGAGTAATGGGTGTTTTTTGGTTCCTATTTTAACGATCTAAGCTCATGGTCTAAAGTGCACGGCGCAGGTGCACTCAGGGCGTGTCCGAATCCACTTTTGCTAGTTTAACGACGGGAAAAAGGTCGGCGCACCCGGGCGCATGGTCTAAATGGGTTGTCCCTAAGCTCAGCTGCTCAATGACTATGTGGCAGTGAAGATTTTCCCTATTCAGGTACCACGCGGAGCCGAGGCCAGAGAATCAGCTCCTAAAGCTGATGAGTTAATCTAACCTGTTAAACAATTACACTGCCAAACGTGGAGCTGAGCCATGTGTCGGCCTGTGAAGTACATATACGTGCACTGAATGTACAATATTAGCACATAATGTGATTTAAACAAAACTGAATTTGAGAGTATTGTAAAATATTACAAATTTATGATACTTGACAGCAAAGATGATTAGGGTTGGGTATCGTTTAGGTTTTTTTCGATACCGGTGCCAAATTGATACTTTTAAAACGGTTCCTTTTTAAATTCTTTTTAAAGTAGCCTATGGAACATATTTTCTGCCTGATTCTGTGACAAGAAGCCACATCAGATCACAAAAGGAAGCATTTGACTGGTGTTGTAGAGTAAAAAGGTTATAATATTCTCTTTTGTTGGACAACAGGTTTAGAAATGTGAATACAAGGGAAGGTTAGCATTAGGCATTTTAATTTAAGCATATTTCGATTAGTTAACGGAAGGCTACCTGCTGCCATCAGAGCAAGTGTAATTACTGCATTCACGCGCGTGCTCCTCTATGCTCTCATTTCCCGAGTTGTGCTTTTAAGTCGGAATGTGAAAACAACATGGACACTAGCGTTACTACAAAGATGTGTTGGATTTGTATTATTAGAGCTTTCTGACTCGAGTTCATGTGCATTTTCTCAGTCGGGAATTTTTTTTCACGTGCGGTGCCGGTGATGATGCTGCTTTCATCGGTTTTGGAGAGCAAGAGGACAAATATTTCAATCGATCGCTCAGGCATGGCACCGAAATGAGGCACTGAAATCTGCATTCGGTTCTAGTACATACCGGTTATATAGTTACCGATGCCGGGTTTCAGTACCCAACCCTAAAGATGATGCAATCGTATGAAATAGAATGTGAACAGGAAACTATACATCTTCCATATTCAAACCTATCCTGTAAAAGCTGTATATGTCAATGTTTAATATTTATATAGTTAAATATACATAAATTATATAATTATTTATTTATCAAATAAACATTGTAACTTTTTTAATTAACTATGACTTTAAACAGAATATGAACAGAACCGTGTTCAGTGGGTGCTGTTTTTAAAAGAAATTAGTATTCAGCAGGGATGCATTCAGTTCATCAAAAGTGACAGTGAAGACATTTATAATGTTACAAAAGATTTCTATTTCATATAACTGCTGTTCTTTTGAACTTTCTATTCATCAAAGATTCCTAAAAAAATGTATGACTTTCCGCAAAATATTAAGCAGCACAAGTTCTTTCAACATTAATAATTCAAATAAATGATTTTGGGCCCTATTTTAACGATCTAAGCTCATGGTCTAAAGTGCACGGCGCAGGTGCACTCAGGGCGTGTCCGAATCCACTTTTGCTAGTTTAACGACGGGAAAAAGGTCGGCGCACCCGGGCGCATGGTCTAAATGGGTTGTCCCTATTCTCTTAATGAGTAATGGGTGTTTTTTGGTTGTAACGTGCAATAAACCAATCAGAGTCTCATCTCCTATCCCCTTTAAAAGCCAGTTGCGCTCGTGCCATGGCGTGTTCGCTATTTACATGGCGGTATGTAATTTTTCATTTTTAAAAATGTTTGTGTGCTGCTGCGCATCCCTGTGTGTGTAATAAGCAAAGTGTACGTGCGTTGTGCACCCATCTACAGGCGCATATTACTAACGCGCTCTTTAAATAACACAGAAAAAATATTGCGCCAGACTTTAGACCACGTTTGAGTTGGTCTATGGCGCAGTCTATTTTCAGTTCCTCAAAATAGCAACGCGCCAACAAGGCGCCTGAACACACCTCTTTTTTTAGACCAGCACGCCCATGGGCGCACAAATGGCCGCAAATGCATTTGCTATTTAAACAACACGGCGCAGGACGGCAAAATGAGAACTGCGTCGGGCTGAAACTAGCAAAAACACTTGCACCGCATTGCGCCGGGTGTATGATAGGGCCCTTTGAGCACCAAATCAGCATATTTGAATTATATCGGAAGTATTGTGTGACACTGAAGCCTGGAGTAATGGCTGCTGAAAAATCAGCTTTGCGTCACAGGAACAAATTATGTTTTAAAATATATTACAAAAGAAAATCATTATTTAAATGGTAATAATATTTCACAATGTTAGTGTTTTTACTCCATTTTTGATCAAATAAATGCAGCGTTGGTGAGCATAAGAGACTTCCTTCCTTAAATATACATGAATTAAATATTGTGTAAAAATATAAAGATAAATATTTATGTCATGAAATAAAAATGTGCATCCTTAGTAGAAACGGAGCTAACAGAAGCTGTCTCGCTCTACAGCTTAGAGTTTGGTGTGAGGGAAATAATGTGTCTCATCCATCAGTCAATCTTGTAATAATTTGCTCTGGTAAATTACTGCTTACTTGCATAATCTGAGTTGTCTGTGAATGTCAGCTAAAGCTCTGTAACTTGTATTAACTTGTATTGTTTTAATGGTTAGTTAGCAGCCCTAGTGCTGTCAACTTACTGGTGGAACAGCATTTTTGATGGAGTGGAGTTTTTTTTTTAGGGGATTGCCCATAATGCCGGTGTGCTGTAATAACTATGTACTTTGCGTCTTTCTCAGGACAAGCTGTCATGGCAGAACGAGTATGACATTTACAATCTCCCTGGCATGAGGCATGAAAATATTCTGCAGTTCATTGGGGCAGAGAAGAGAGGAAGCAATCTGGACATTGAGCTGTGGCTCATCACAGCTTACCATGAAAAGGTGTGGAGATGTATGAGGGCTGGACAGTATTGGCGGAACCGTTGTAGATCCATTTTAGTTTCTCAAAGTTTACTAATTAATTTCTGCTATCATAATCAGCAGGGATTACGTCCTATATTATTTTTCAAATGTTGCTAATAAACTTTAAAAAGTATTTTTTATTATTTATTTATATGAATTTTGAACATCATACTAAAGACTTTAATTTTGCATTATGAAATTATCAATCCCAGCTGCTGAACACTGAGAAATAAACATGAAAAAGAAACAATGAGAAAGATAATTGGCTGCTTTTTGAATGCTACTGATTTAGTAAAATGCGTCTATCCATAAATTTTCAATTTTGTTATGAACGTTTTCTGTATGTTCATAATATGTTCTCAAGGGACATTACAAAAGAAACAATTTTTTATTTGTCATGTTAATGCCTGGTAGGATGCAATTATGCAAAATAAATAATTTTCATCAAAAGATCATTCAAGATTTTCGAGTAAATATGTGACATGGTAGCACCCAATGTATCCACAGTCAGTGTTATTGCTGATTTTATAATTTTCTTTCTTTTTATTGTGAATTGAAAAGGTTTTAGTTTTTTGCACTGCAGGCTGATATACAGCCATGATTGATCCGCATGTCTGTGTGCAGGGCTCCCTGACGGACTACCTAAAGGCAAACGTAGTGACGTGGAATGAGCTGTGTCACATCGCTCAAACCATGGCTAGGGGCCTGGCTTACTTGCACTCTGACTTCCCCGGACACAGAGACGGCCACAAACCAGCCATCGCACACAGGTTAGAAATGTGCAACTCTTTAACAATGATTATGGTCATTGGATATATTAAAGAGAAAACACTGTATGACTTATTTTATTGTGCGAGAACACATTTTTATTGGGTGGATTTGGTCCATGCAGTGAAAGTTTTGAACCCCACTGACTTTCATTGTATAGACAAAAACAGCTGAAACCATATTGAAAGGATCTTTGTTAACATTTTAATTAATTAATTTATAAATTATAAATGAATCTATATCTATTATTTAATTAATTAAATTTAATTTTGTTAACGAAAACTATGACGAAGAAAGTTTGTTGAGCTTTTTTCCCATGACTAAGACGAGGCGAAGATGAGACGACAATAAGGTCAATAAACGGTAACTATGACTATTTCGTTGATGAAATAAGATGAGACTAAAATGTATTTAAAAAAAAAAAACTTTACCAAAAACCTCTTTTTATTTTTAACAGCGACAAACAAGCTGGAGTTTAGCGATCTAAATTAAAGCGTCACTCAGTCAGTCTGTGTTCTGTCATGAGATCTCGACTGTATTGTTTGTGACTGTGGTTGCTGAATAAATGCACTTACTCAACCGCTGTTTTTTTAAGTAGAGAAATAGGCTATTGCAATTTGGAATTAGTGGAATTCACTGTTATAATATTTTTCGTTCGTTTTAACAGTTTTCATAATGTAGATAGAGAGAGTACTAAATACAATAAGGTTGACTAAATATAATAAAAACTAAGAAGGGCATTTAACACAGGACTAAGACTAAAATTTAAAATAGCTGACAAAATTAACACTAATTTTAAGCCTTTTCACTTGCTTAAAATTGTATTATATGTGCACAGAGATATTAAGAGCAAGAACGTGCTGCTGAAGTCTAATCTGACGGCCTGTATAGCTGACTTTGGTCTGGCTTTGAGGTTTGAGGCAGGAAAGTCAGCTGGGGACACACATGGGCAGGTAAGTGTTGAAAGTCAACTGTTCAGATCATCTAAAGCTTTGTGCTGATCGTAAAGTGCCGCCCTTTGTGCGAGGGTTTGGCTTTGTAAAGTGTGTTTAAATATGAATATGATTCTATGGAGGTGTATCAGAGGCTGTATCTCAAAGTCTAATGTGCTACCTACATAAAAGACTTGACACCAAAATGTCAGTAGTCGATACCATATCAGCTGTGAAATTTCTTTCTCAATACCTTAACAAAAATGTATATGCTATTGAGCACAAAAAGTCTTTTGTGCAAAAAGTTAAATAGTAATATAAATGCTAACAAATTCAATTAAAACCATGGCATGTAGCCTTCTAGGGTTTCTCAATTAAGTAATCACATCTTGAAGTTTTTCAAAGAAATTATTCAGGTAAACAGGGGGTAATAAAATCATGAACAAATAGAACAATTAAAACGATGCAAATTAAATGGAAGTTTTTCACATTTTCACAGCAGTCTGAAGTATTCAGGTAAACATTCAGTAATTTATTTAAATACAAAAGAAATCAAATATAAAATTCAACTTTTTGTTTTGTTATTAGGCTGTAAATCACAGCTGGATGGGTCCTCCATATTTAAACCATGAATGAATTGACTGCAGTGCTAGCAGAAAGATTGTAGAACCACTTGTAGCAATACTTTTTTATTGTATTCACTTGATACCGAAATGCTGGTAGTTCCCTACTACATATACAGCGTTTTATTACTGGCTTGTTCAAGTGTTAGTGTGTATCTAGATCATTGAAACATTATCAAGTACTTTATTGTAATAGTTCTCTGGCCGCTGGACCCTTGCCCTTAATTCACTACTCATCAAGGCATATGCATGTACATGTTCCATTGTTAACTGTTATGCTAACCAGACGGAGATCTCTCTGTGCGCTCCAGGTGGGAACCAGACGTTACATGGCCCCGGAGGTGTTGGAAGGGGCCATCAACTTCCAGCGAGATGCTTTCCTCAGGATAGACATGTATGCGGTGGGACTGGTGCTGTGGGAGCTGGCAGCCCGTTGCACTGCGTCTGATGGTACGTATGCGTGAGCTGCTGTTCCTCGTAGACCATTTTGACACCAAACTGTGCAGTTATATCAGTTATTTTATAGTACAAATTTGATTGACATTTGAGTTTAATCTGGTCTGGCAGCACTCCCTGATCACACAAACACATTTCCAGTATGTCACTTGGGCTCCTGAATAAGCCTGTCACTGTAAGTGCAGTAAGCTCACTATTATCGATTATTGGTGTCTGGTCTAATGGAACAATATTGATCAGGTGTGGACAGTGAAGCAGACCTCAGGGACTATTGTGACAGGGTCATCATGTGTGACAACCTCATTGAGTGCAGTGCATGATGGGATTGAATGGGTGACAGAGTGTGATGGCAGATCAGGTGGTTAAACAGCATTCTGTCTAGCTACTTCTTCTCCAAAGTGTCTTCTCCCTCATTTGTTTGGCATTTCTGTTGATAATGCAGAAGAATGTTATTTTTTCGATGTTGAAAATGTTTATCCTATCTTGGGTTCTTTTCTATCAGTTTTTATCAGCAATTATCTCATTTCATTTTTGATGCGCATGGCAAAATATGTATTTTTATTCTCCCAGCAAAACTCTAACTCTAGTTTTTTGAAACTTTAATGCCAAGAAACACTAAAGGTACACACAAAAATGAAAAATTGTCATAATTTCCTCACTCTTATGTTGTTCAAAGCCTGAAAGACTTTTTCTTCTGTGAAATGTAAAAAGATACTTTGAGAAACGGTTTGGTTCCCAACATTCTTCAAAATATCTTCTTTTGTGTTCTATAGTGGAAATAATGTCATACAGGTTTGGAACAACGTGAATGAGTAAATGATGACACAATTTTCATTTTTGCAGCTGAAAACATTCTTTTCCCCCCCCCAAAAAAAATATTGAAAATTATTTTTATACTGCTCAAAATGATTAAAAACTAGGGCTGATAATCAGAAATGAAACCATAATAATTTAGCAAATGTTAAAAATGATTACATTACCACATTTATCTAATGTCTAAAGTTAACATAAATTTAGACATTCTTTAAAAAAAACTTTTTGTATGGGTTTTCTTGCCAATTTTCTGAGTACCCCTTTTACCCCTGGGGTCTCTGGACCTTAGTTTGAAAACGTCTGTTACTCCTCAATGGTAGAACTTACTGAGCAGATGTTTGTTTATTGCTTCTTAAGGTCCAGTGGACGAGTACATGCTTCCGTTTGAGGAGGAGGTGGGCCAACACCCCACTCTAGAAGACATGCAGGAGGTGGTGGTCCACAAAAAGCTTCGGCCCACTCTCAGGGAGTGCTGGCAGAAACATTCGGTATGTAATCATCATTAAACCTCACCTCAAGCTTTTAATGAAGTTAATATTATCCTTGATATAAAACACGTTCATTTGTCTCTCAGGGTCTGGCCATGCTGTGCGAGACTATAGAGGAGTGTTGGGACCATGAGGCTGAGGCGCGTCTCTCCGCGGGATGCGTCGAGGAGCGTGTGATCCAAATGCAGCGGCAGACCAGCGTCTCCGCCCTGGAGGAAATAGTCACCGTTGTAACAATGGTGACCAACGTGGACTATCCCCCTAAGGAGTCCAGCCTATGACTGGAGGATATCAGCGTGTGAATTGCGGGCTGACCGAACAGAAAAGATGCGTTGGGGATGGTGGTGGACTGCAGTTATGACGTCTGGCTTCAGACATGCTGGATAATCGACCTGTACTTACGGCTGGAGCAAATGCAGACAATGCATTTTGTGCCGAATCTGGGTTTAATACAGGTTTACCTGGAGCCAGCTACGTTATTGTATGTGTTGTGTATATATAAACTAGTACCACGGGGCGCTCTGGTAAGGACGGATGGATTATAAGCCGACATCAAAAACGAACCTCTTTGTTGTCGTTTCTCTGCTCTGAGAATAAACTTTCCCATTCAAGGAGTAAACGAGACTCCTCCTCCGCACGGCGCTTGTGTCATTTCAGTATAAAAAAGGGCAACGTCCATGTAAAAAAAGACACATTTAATGTGTACGTATGAATGACTATTGTAATGCCAATAAGAAACAGCTTTTTGAATGTGTAGTGTGACGCTGCTGTACAGATATCAACAGAAAGGGTGACGATACAACCCAAATCGACACGTGTTTCCTCTGAAAGCTTTCAGAGTTTCTGTCAGATAACCACCAACCTCTCGACAAGGTATACCTCAGTTTCTCATCCTAATAATAAGTTTGTTTTGTAACACTATATGATATAAAAAAGAGGCTTTTCGATGACCTCCATTTGGCACGGAAGCTTTTTAAATACGGGGAAAACTTTTTTTATATGACAGATTATGCCAAGAAACGATGGCCATTCATAAACCAGTGTTCTGCCTTCTTTCTTTTAGTTGTTCTCTGTGTTGCCCTGCTGTTTAAAATGTGACTTTTGTTCTTTTAGCATTGTGACCGTTTGTTTGTTAAAACAAATTTTGACCTTTATCAAGACCTGTTGAGAAGAAAAAATCCCTGAAAATATGAATTTTGTGAAAATAATACAGAAGCACTTACCAATATAGGTTTGCGGTGTCCTCACAACATTGACGTATGTGCATGCCTTGTTTTCTTTTCTTTTTTTTGGTTCATTTTTAATTTTCTTAGCTTTTCAAACCTTTATCATGTGGAGCTTGTGCATGAGATCCCGTTAGCAGTCATGGAAACCCCTTCATTATTGGTTCATCTGAAATATTTCCTGTCTTCTGGGCGTCACTTTTTTTGTTCCATTTCCATTTGGAATCATCCAATCTTGGTCTTCTATGGTCAAACTGGTTTCAGATCAGCAGCCAGGCGACCTTCTACACACTTCTACAAGAACTGTATCTCAGTATGTCTCAGGAAGCGTTTCCTTTTGCTTTGAGCCCTCTGGTGCCATTCTGGTGACCCTTGTTGTATTATGTATGCAAGGGCCCTTAATATAACACCTTATTAGTGTGGTCATATTATGTGCAATAACATCCTAAGCAGGGACTGTTTCACAGCTCACAGGCCACTTCCAGTGTGGTAAAAATCCAAGCACCTAGCAGTTTGCTTAGACCATAATGTACATCACAAACTGAAGTCGACGTCAGGCTATGCATATGTTATGATGCCCGGTTGTCTGAGAGTATTAAGCTAATAACATGCTGTAATGGGGACCGAACACATGCAGTAACTCTCTGCCAGCAGAATCTTTCAAAAGAACAGCTTCTCTGCTGCTGCTCTTTGGCTTCGTTCACACTGCACTTGAATCCAATTTGATTTTCAAATCCGATCTTTAGAATCATTTTGCGAGAAATTTATTCAGACAGTGTAGTCAATATCCATTCCAGATAACAAAAAACTGCTTCAAATCTGATCAGACTGTTCACACTGAAACTGATATTAATCTGACTTCAAACCACGTTTATTTGTAAAAATCTGTTTTTTATGAGGGTTTTTCCCCTTTTAGACTACAAACAACTAATCTGATTTGTATCAGATACTAAATTGGATTTCTGCTGCTTGTCTGAACAAGTCCTGTAATATGATTCAGTGGCTCATTTTGGTTCATTTTGCTTTCAATATTTTAGTTACATTGCACCCCAAAAGAGTGAAAAATGAATTGAGATCTGAACTCACAATTGAACGCATTTCTGAAAATCTGATTTTAATTTGATTTAAAAACCTCATATTCATGTGATTTGTATCGGGTTTGTAAACTAAACTGATTTGAATCAGATACTAAATCATATGCTGCCTGTCTGAACAAATAATCCAAAAAATTTCAAATGAATTGAAATCTGATCTGACCATTCAGACTCAACACATTTGTAAACACCTGATTTTAATCTGATTTCAAACCACATGGCTGTGGTTTGAATCCAGTTTGTAAACAATGCATTTCATGTTTGTGGAATTGAAATCTGATCTGACCATTCAGACTCAACACATTTGTAAAAACCTGATTTTAATCTGATTTCAAACCACATGGCTGTGGTTTGAATCCAGTTTGTAAACAATGCATTTCATGTTTGTGTTTTTTTTTTTCATCCATTCAGACTACAAATATCTGAACTGATTTGAGTCTGATACAAAATCGTGAAGTATGATTCAGTTCACAATTCTTTTACAATATGATGCATTTGACAATGTTCAGGTCCATACAACCATATGCAATCAAGCCCTTTCAATGAAAGCTCTCTATCTCTCTACTGTAGCATTCTCAGCCAGCTCATTCTGTTTTACTTCATCTGATGGTAAATTAATGCGGGGCCTGTGCCATCTCAGAACAACAAGGCCCTCAGTTGGACTCTGTAGATGCAAAGGTCATTGCATTTAAGGTCAGTTGGTTATAACATCAAGCTGAAGTACCTGGTTCGTTTGCAGGATGAGTGCTCTGGTCTGAGAGCATCTCCGTGAGGTTCTTGTGATTCACTTTTGACTAAACACTACAGATGATTCAATAAGCTGAGTGACTGCTGCTGGCCTGTAGAGTGTTTTCACCAGGTGCTGTCCTGTTCCCGGTCTGTTTTTGGTTTTCTAGTTGGGGAATCTGGGGGGAAGGTTGAATAAGATGGAAAGCCAAACTTTAAAAGCCCTGTGTTTAGTAGAAGACTCGGATGATAATGCACCGTATGTACATATGAATGTTGTTTTAGATTGTGAAAAGAGCATGCATTTTTTTAATGTCTCAGAAAAAAAATCCTTTATTGATATTATTATTGTTAAATATGTTAATTTTGTACATCTGTATTTTAGTTGTATTAATTTATATCATGGCCCAACTCATTCTTCTTTTCTGGATCAATGAGAAGTGATGCTATTTTTAAAACTGGTCAGATAAAACACTACTAAAGAATCAATCCTTTACCTCAGACTTCCACTCACAGCGTTCAAAAGATTGAACAAACAGTGTAGCACGACAGACAACATGGTGCAGCGTTGCAAGTATTGCTCCTGGGATTCGACCAGCAGCTTCTCTCTCTGTCTTTTCTTTCAGACACACTTTTTCGGTCTTCAGTGGCCATGTTTCTTCTCAACTACACCATTAAGTGAATGTCTCCACTTTACCAAAACTCTCCATTTTAGGTGCGAGCAGCTGCATTACTGTTGTGCTGGACATGCCATTTTTGTCCACCTTTCTCTTGAGTATTTAACGCATTCAGGGCCTGATCAGACGTAATTGTTACATAATGTACAGATGAAATTTTATGCTACTATTCCCCTCAAATAAAGTATAGTGACTGCTCTCAAATGTGTCCTGTTTCTCACTGAACTTACCTAAAAATACTTGCATGCATATTTTCTCAATGCTGGGATGAGTACTGTCCAGCCTGACAGGAATCTTGAATCTATTTGATTAATAGCTGTTATGTGTGTACACACCACTAGATGTCAGCATTTGGCCTAATTCTGTTTACACCCATTTTGACTAAGATTTTCCCTATTCCCCTAAATTTAAAATGTTTGAGCCTAGTAACATTATTTTTTTATATTATTATTCAGTAAATTGATTATTAATAATTGCTAATTTAATAAATGAATGACTAATGCTAATAAATTCATACTTCTATTTAGCAAGGATGAATTGAATTGATCTAAGAGATTTCACAAACTTTATAAAATATTACCGAACCCTAACTTTTAAATAGTAGTGTGTGTGTCCTCCAGCTATTCAAATGCCATATGTGACCCTGGACCACAAAACCAGTCATAAGGGTCCATTTTTGAATAAATAAACTTTCCATGTATGTTGCAACACCGCCACCACGACCAGTCTTACGGGGCTCATGCTTATAACAGTAGCTTGGTGGAGTAGACTCATTTAGACCAATATAATCATTAGGTTTTAGCCAGGTTTCAGTCAAGCAGAGTACATCAAAACTATTATTTGTGATCATTTCATTTACAATAACTGCTTTGGGTGAGAGTGATCTAATGTTTAGGAGCCCAAACTTTAAAAATAGTTTTTGTTCGCAACTGCTACCCCCAACTGCTCCCCGTGCGCTGCAGCAAAAAATGGCTGCCCACTGCTCCGGGTGTGTGTTCACTGCTGTGTGTGTGTGCACTTTGGATGGGATAAATGCAGAGCACTAATTCGGAGTATGGGTCACCATACTTGGTCACATGTCACTTCACTTTCACTTTCTTTTTTCTGGTTTAATCACGATCAGATTTTTTTCTAGATCCTGCATTAAATTTATATTTTGACCTCACTATTCGGGGAACAGACACAGTCTTTATAGATTGTACAGCGCAAGTACTTCTATCATTTAAGCGAGTAGAGCACAAGTCATCAGGGCAGTTATTTGAGATTTGACTTACTAGTCATATGGTGCGTAGCGTCCTGGAGATGTTATCCGACATGAGTTCCGCTCCGACTCTGCTAGGGTGCAGGCCATCAGTGTGAAAAAGCCTAGGACGCTCCCAGAAAAGATTCCAATTATTAACAAAGAGCAGTTTCTGTTCTTAACACCATGACAATAACCATTCATTTAAAGCAAAAAGTCTACTGAACCTTTCGTGTCCTCGTCAATACGTGGGAAGCAGTCCTGACACCATGATCGTCGTCGCGGGCAATGTGCTGCGCACCGTCTTGATCAGGCTCCCGAAGTCTCGAACGTGTCCTCACCTGCACTCAAAGGTAGACACACATCCGCCATTAAAGCAAGTAACAGTGAATAAAACAATGGTAATGTGTGTGAATAGAGTATTAGCAATGTAAGCAAGATTAGCGAGATATGCATCCACTAGGTGAGATGTGTTCATGCCTTAAAGTCTGAGAATAAGTACAATAACAAGGCTGCCATCTTGAGATTATTTATATACTATTATAGTTTTTTTAATGTTTTGAATTTGCTTTATAGTTATATTTTAAATTATATTTAAAAAATAAACATGTTTGTGAGGCTGATATTGTGACTTTAAGTCAGATGTAGTTCAGTTTTCTGAATTTCACAGTCCAGAATTAAACATTTGTATTAAGAACATCAAGTTACTGGTTCAGCATTTCATCCTATGAGACTGAGTGGTTGATAATAACCTGATCAGAGAGAGCCATTATCCCTGGAGCAGAAAATTAACATCTACAATGAGCTCCTCTTGGGATAAACATGTGTCTCTAGAATCATTTGGCAGCTCCCCAAACACAGAAGTCACAAAGCCAATGTGCTCTGTACACATCTGCCACCTGCCTCTCCAGCATCTCCAGAGGTCACAGGAGGTTTCACATGATGCACCTGAGGATTTTAACTCCTTTGCAAACATCAGTGCTGTTATTGTTAGTTAAAACTAGCTATTAAAAATAGTTTTCAGTAGTTGAAATTAAGCTGAAATAAAATAGACCAAAAGAACTTAAAAAATTGATATATACTGTATATACAGTGGGTACGGAAACTTAGATATCACTGCTATGTGTCACGTCAAAATAAAACTTGAAATGCCCTGAAAATGTGATGACCATGGCAGTTAACGTTAGTGAGCATTCAGCTTGATGAAATTAAAGATGTATCTTCGTGTCTGTGACAGTGTTTACAGGGCTTGTATACGGTGGCCGAAACATTTTCAAATCTCATATCACATCGGGTAGGTCTAGGGAGGGCTTTTATTGCCCAAATATGGTGGTACCCATTTAAAAAATTGAATAAAAATTATATTTTACACTCACTCTGTTATTATTGCATAGCCTACTGTTTTATGTTCTACATTTGAAATAAGTAGTATAAATAGCAGAAAATACTGCTATTTTAACATAGTGTAAATAGAATCTATAGTTATTTGCACTTAGTGTAAATAGCATATCGCTAAGAAAATACTGATATTTTTACTGTGTAAATAGCATCTAACTAAGATTAATAAATGCTGTTAGAAGTATTGTTCATTCTTAGTTCATGTTAACTAATGTTAGCCTTACTAATGAAGTCTTTCCAAAATATTGTTCAGATTGATCAAAACACTATGAAATGTATAATTATTATTTAAAATATGAAATTAAATTAAATAATGTTAATAAAATACAAAAACATTAAGTCTAACAAACATGAATTTATATATATATATATATATATACACACATACACACACATATACATATATTGTTTGTGTGTGTGTGTGTGTGTGTGTGTATATAAGACAATTCAAAATATTAATAAATAATAAAATCAAATAATATTAAACATGATCTTAATTTTTTTCCCTGTAGTGCTATAGTAATGAAAATGAACATCTGCCTTTAAAAAATATAGTATTTGAGCACATGGCTCCAGATCAACTTTGAAAAACTGTTGATGTGACCATTTTAATGTTAGTTGCAGCAAGGTTTTGCATTTAAAGCTCTCCATTCACACATAAAATGTATTTATTTGTCTTGGGCAGAACAGATAGCTCTCTGAAAAGCCAAATGTTAATTCAACCACAACATATTGGATCTATTGCAATCCAACTGTCCAAACCACAACTATAGATCTGGAAAGGTGCTCAAAAACTAGTAACATGCATACATTCATATCATGACAGGATACAAAATAAACACATACCATGATCCCCCAAAAAATATTGTCAACAAATTTAGATCTAGTTTCAGTATTCAACTTATCAATAAACTAGTTGAATTTTGAGCAAATGTATTTTACCGTGGTCAAAAAGGCTTTGGCATTTAAGATCAGTCCACCACTGAATATGTATAAGGCAGTCTCCAGTTTTTATGAAGGAAATTTTATATCCAATCTAGAAGGTATATTTCTGTGTTTGGTGGATAAATGTGAAAAAAAAGTAAAACTGTGAAAAATGATAACCCCCAAACTCATAAAGTGTTGCAGTACAGATGAATATAATAGACCCATAAGCAGCAATATAGAACTGACTGTGCTTAATTTTTCTGTTAAGCTTGAATATCCCCTCTCATTGTTAATTTGTGTTTTTTAATCGTTTGTAAATGTGTATGTCTTCAAAGTTACCAATACTTTGGCAATGAGAAGCCTTTATATGTTAATAAAGCCGCTTGAATCTTGAATAAAAGCGGTGACTTACTTTTCTCCCTTTACACTTTCAGACTGAAATGTCAGTATCACGTGACAAATGAAGTCGCCTAAAAACATTGCACAGTGAATGCATGTTCACACTTGAGCTGAGATGAAGTTGGGTCTAGTAATGCCTGTGGCCCCTGCACGTCACAATATCATGAAGGCCTCTGGGCTCACCGTTCCCCCTCAGTGAATGTGCGTAGCTCATAATATATAATTCAGGTGGTGTTTAGTTAATTTACTCGCTATGTGGATTCGCCAATCCTAGAAAAAGCTACCAACTGCAACTTCTACTCCTGCTTTTACCCTAGGGAATCTTTTTAGTGTTCATACGGGCTCCCAAAAATAAAGAGGAAGTTCAACTCAGACCAAATGTCAGCAGTATAAACTCCAACTCGTACAACACTGCAAGACACTTGGTCACATTCCTGTCACCATTATTTGGCGACGTGGAACATCACATCCAGAACTCCAAGGACTTGGCAGAGAAGGTCCAGGACCCGGTGTACCCAAAGAACTGGGCCCTGAGGGGAAATAAGAGCAAAATATGCAGTACAGTAATGAGGAACATCATAGCTGTCACAGCACAGAGTCTGAAACACCTTACGGACTACACTAAAACACAAGGTTCACACATACACAGATATTCCAGTTGAAGTTTTGGAGAAGAAAGGGGTAATTTAAGAAAGGAAGATGACCATTTGTTACAAAGTGGAACAGCTTTTGAAGCCTGTGATGCTATTATTAGCTACTTACTTACCTTTCATCCTGATCCCAGCAGTTTACACTAATTCACACCTGGGATCTCAATGCCTGCAATGACTTCAGCAATGAATTGTCTTGAGGCTCAGGATTGTGTGTTTTGAGCTTAAATGATGGGGAATCGCCACCATAACCAGCTCTATGAGTGGTGAAATGTCTTGAACAAGAGAAAAACAGTCAGGAGACAAATCAGACACACATTCAATATTGGTTTAGATTCAAAACAACACATTAACAAGCTGGTTGCAGTGTGTCTGTGTGTAAACATCATAAATGAACATTTGTCAATGATTAGTATGACTAAAGCAAACAATATTTCTATAACTATGTGTAACCCATCGCTCATGCATACAGGGAATCAAATTTGTGAAATGTGAATCTTTCCAGAACATAATTTTTCCATGCACCTTCTTTCGATGAAGTCTAAGTTTCATATTTCACTGATTTGTAATTTTCAACAGACACACATTGAGTGCGTTCTGAAAGATAGTTTTCGAACCATTTTAAAGCAGCTTCACTGAGACCTACATACCTAAGTCTATGTAACATTAATTTGTGATCTACTGAATCAAAAGCTTTAGACAGATCAATAAATAAAGCAGCACATGACTTTTTACTATCTAGAGAGGTTATAATATCATTTGAGACTAATGTAGCTGCAGTAATGGTGCTATGTCCCATTCTGAACCCTGACTGATAATCCTGAAGAATATTATTTTGGCTGACAGAATTGTTTTAATTGATCGTTTATCGGTGATTCAAAGACTTTTTCTAACTAAGGACAAGCTTAAACCAGCTACCATGCTTCAAAACATACCTAACCAGCATATGCTGTTTTTTTCCAACAGGGAAGATTCTCTGATGAATACACAGTTCAAAAGAACAGCATTTAATTGAAATATAATTTTTTGTAACAGAAATTACAAAAGGACTAACATACTTACCCCCAAACTTTTAAACAGTAGCGTACAACATAAATGTTTCAATTAATTTACTGTTCCTAGAGTGTGCAAGCAATATAGGAAATGTTCTCCAGAGAAACACCCAATGCAGCCCTCAGACACTCTCCACTTATCCATCTCACATCTCCACCACTGTTTTATAGGATTGCCTCTGCGCTCTTCTCGTTCCTCTCATTAAAAATGATTTGTGTCTTAGCAGGTAACTTTTTCCAAGTAGGTCCCAATACACTTTCCTCTCTGTAGGCTGGCCGCCTGCTACCAAGTTCTCACATTCCAGTATCAGTTATCGAACATGGTGGAGGACGGAAGTTATTTATTTAAGAAACTTGTCAACAGAAAAGGCTACTGTGATTACAGTATGTACTCAAAAGCAGAGTAACCATAATCACAATAAAATATGTGGAGTACGTTTTGATCATTTGAGCTATAGGCACATAAAAACACAGCAACAAAATAACTGCATTTGAATTGAACATATGACCCTGGACCACAAAAGCAGTCATAAGTAGCATGGGTATATTGTAGCAATAGCCAACAATACATTGTATGGGTCAAAATGATAATTTTCTCTTTTATGCCAAAAATCATTAGGATATTAATTAAAGATCATGTTCCGTGAAGATATTTTGTAAATTTCCTACCATAAATATATCAAAACTTAATTTTTGATTAGTAATATGCATTCCAAGAACTTAATTTGGACAACTTTAAAGACGATTTTCTCAATATTTAGATTTTTTTGTGGGGAAAAAATGGAAAGTTTATTTATTCAGCTTTCAGATGATGTATACATCTTAATTAAAAAAATTGACCCCTTATGACTGGTTTTGTGGTCCAGGGTTACATATGTGTTGTTAGTTCACTGGTTTAAATTTAGTGACAAAACAGTAGTAAAAACAACCACAATTTTTAGGAATAATCCATAGTAATTATGGATTTTACTTGTATTTAATGGAATCTGAATGAGTTTGTAAATGTCATAAAGCAAGCAGGCCCAATTCTTCCTTTTCGTTATTGGTAATAAAACAACTTAGAGTACGCCATATTTAATTTTTGACAGGAATGAAGAAGTACAATGCGTTGAATAGATTGTACTGTTGTTTAACAACATACTGGTTGTTCAGCCAGCAAAATGTCTTTCTAGACAAAAATAAACAGTTTTGAATGTGGTTCGTTGTAAAAATTTGTTTTTAAACATTCAATATGGTGCCTAACCTGAAGGGTGTGAAGGTACCAACATAATCTCATTGCAATTTGTAAATATTTAACATTTTGGCAAATTGGTGAGTGGTGACTAATTCGTGCAAAATTTGTACAATTCCTATGTTTTAGTAGGCTAGGGTTAGTGATAGGGCTGGGGATGGACCGGTATGTTTTTTTTTTAACTGAATGTCTTTGCCTCCTCATAAAACAGTAACATTTTCTCAAAAGACTGGATTGGCAGGCTCATATCGACAGTTTATGTGCATTTGGGGTAGACATGCATCCCTCTTCATTATTAATTATTAAGAGGGATGCATGTCTCCCCCAAATACACAAACTGTCGATCAAGGCCTGCCTATGAGATTTTCAATCTAAACATTCTGTGGCCCAAAATCTTGAATATGTGGTTCAGTTTTGTATTGTAGGCCATCTTTGGCTGCGTGGCGTATGTAAACACATTAGACACATCACTGGGATGTGTAACAGACGGTCTACAAATGTAAAATGTGACAGCTCTGCGACGCACTCATGTGCTCCTCGTGCCCGCGTGTCGTAACACCGTGTGCGCGCGCAGCGGCACCCGCGCGCTCCCGCTCCCGCTCTTTGGCAGTGTCGCGCGGACTGTCGGGATCATGTCCGCCATGTTTTCACACCAGCCTAGAAAAAAAAACCCGTGAAAAAACACCAGAACTCGCTCAGAGATGCCTTTAACCGCCGGATTTCGATTGGAGGGTCGTCAGTGAGCGCGGCCGCGGAGAGAACCGTCGGCTCGTGTGTGTATTTGTACCGAATGATCCGTGTTTAGTGTGTTTGTGATCGCTGAAAACAATGAGTAAACTCTCGTTCCGCGCGCGAGCGCTAGACGCCGCCAAACCGCTGCCGATCTACCGCAATAAAGACCTTCCGGACCTCACCGACTGCGTCTCCATCAACCGAGCGGTTCCGCAGATGCCAACCGGAATGGAAAAGGAAGAGGAGTCGGTATGTAAATGATTTTAAATTCATAATTTTTCATGAGGTTCAGGTGCATAGCAGGGTGTTGGTATTTACGTATCTCTTACGCACGTTTTATTACGTAAGTCCGTTCTCTGCTCGAAGGGATCCGCAAGCAGCGTTGTAAGGCTCTAGGTTACGTATATAATTTACGACAGTTGCGTAGTCGTGGGAAATCTTTTACACTAGTGGCGCGAGCAAGGATATTTACGTGAGACATTTGCTAGTGGTGAATGCGCATTGACGTCAGCCTTTTTGCGTAAATGCGTTAGAGATTGACGTATGTTACGACAGGAATACACGAGCTGAACGGCGTGCTTCTGAAACCTGAATCTATTTGATTCTTCTGTTGTTTAGTTTCTGCTGCACCGGGCTCTAGCCATCAATATAGCATTACTATCTCCCACAATTCATTATCATATAATACAATGGTATATGGTTATGGTAATCATTCAGTATTATTGTATCAGAGTACCATGATATTATGTGTTACCATGGCACATATTTCTATATTGTAATGAAAAGTCCAATGTGAAATATTATTTAATTGAACTATTTAATTCATAAAAAATACTTTTAGTTACTGTTGGTTTAAAATGTATTCCAATGTTTAAAAAATGTAATGTTTTGCTGTTGTTGTTGTTATTATTATTGTACATAAATATGTATGTGTGTGAGTGTATACCATCTCTTATGGATTTATATAATTAAATATATTTTATTATTAAGAGTTTAACATTTACTGTATTATTATTATTATTATTGATTTTAATATTACTACTTTACAATTTTCTTTAAAAAAATGTTTTTTGTTGTTGACATAATTGGAAAATGTCCTAGTAACCAACAGGCAAAATGCCTTGTTGTTGTCACATTATGTCAAGAAAACCATAAAACAGAAACAACCCCCTTATATCTCTCTGTTGTCTTTTAAAATATTACACATTTTAACCTTTTTATAAAAAGAAATGTTTTGGTCAGGTCAAATCAAGTAAACCTCCATTTGGGAAAGAAAACATCATGGTATTCATTGTCAAAAATGTATATTTATTACTTTACATGCGTACTTGGTTACACCACTGGACACATCTCTCATGACATCTTCGGCTGTTTTGAAAGATGTGCAACAGATCAAGATTTCTTCAGTTTGATTGTTTTTTTTTGTTAGTGAAGTGAGTTTTAGTAGAACACAAGTATGAAGTGCCATGTTGCCATCTTGATCAAGGAAGATCAAGAGGTTGTGTTGGACAGACATACAGCAGACCAAGGTACATGTTAAAAACTTGAGTTATGTGCCACAGATTGCATTTGCTCTCCTCACCCACCTGATAATGAACTTCTCACCTTTCTATTATTGAACCGTCCACCACAGTGAGTCTCTTATGAATCCAAAAGTCACTGGAACGTTCATTTGTATGCTTGCGAGCTGTGTAAGCCATTGCAGCGGGTTTCATCACGTTGCTGTTCTCAGCTGCATTAAAAGTCGTACTTGCCCAATTCTTATTTCCGTCTCTGTGTGAGTTTTGAACTTTTTCTTATTGCTGAGTCCAGCTACATCAGTTTTAGCTTAAGGAACTGGTCTCACTTGCTAATGGAAATTCTTTGTGTTATGTATGATGTGACAAAATCTTTAGTGTTGTGGTGTATATGGTGTAACCTTTTCACAAATTTGAGTTGTCCCACTCAGTGAATGAAGAATTAGGTTTACTCATCCTCTCTCTCTCTCACGGTGTGTTTCAGGAGCACCATCTCCAGAGGGCCATCTCTGCCCAGCAGGTGTTCAGAGAGAAGAAGGAGAGTATGGTCATCCCTGTGCCAGAGGCTGAGAGTAACATCACGTATTATGACCGCCTTTACAAAGGAGAGTTTCGCATCCCCAAACAGCTCATCCACATCCAGCGTGAGTGACCTTCAGCTTCAAACTCAAGATAGTCCTTCTGGATGCTTTAATTTCTTGATTTAAATAAACAAATAAAGTGTGATTTGAATTTGAATCTCAATCTGTTACTCCGCACCAGCTCTGGGTCTGGATAACGAGCTGCCTGACTATGATATGGACTCAGAGGATGAGACTTTACTGAACAGACTCAACCGCAAAATGGAGCTCAAACCTGTGCAGTTCGAGACCATGATGGATCGGTTAGAGAAAGCAAGCACCAACCAGGTAATAACAAGTCAGTGCTTCTTATCTGGTTTTGCTGTAGGACATAGAACATTAAGTTGCGAGCCAGCATGGTACCAGAATTGTATGAGAGTAACAATCTCATAAAGCCAACGGTGAAATAAATTAATATTACCATAAACTACCACACAAAGGGTTGGGAGTCTGTAAGATAGTTTAACCTTTTTAAAAGAACGTGTTATGTTCATTAAGGCTGTATTTATTTACAATAGTTAAATGCAGTATAAAACTTAATATTGTGAAATATTATTACAATTTCAAGTAACTGTTTTCTATTTGAATATATTTTAAAATGTAATTTATTCCTGTGGTGGCAAAGCTGAATTTTGAGTAGCCATTAATCCAGGCTTCAGTGTCACATGATCCTTCAGAAATCATTCTCAATCTTCTGTAAGATTTTATTGGACACTGTGATACATTTTTTCTGTGTAATTTGATGAATAAAAATTTAAAAGAACAGAATGTTTTTTTCACTGAAGAATAAAATAATTAATTACTTGGGCAGTAAT